GTTCCATCTGACAATGCTAAACATTTAACCCTATTGGCACCCTTGTAAATGTAGTAATGTTGGACACGAGGTCTAGGGAGCCAGGCACAAAGATTAACTTCAATATTGCTACCCGTACAAAACGCGCAGCGCTCTTGCAGCGCTGCAGAATAGCTTCAAGAAGCGCTGCAGAATAGCTGCAAAGAGGCTGGCTGCAGCAGTCGCAAATTTTGGCTGTTCGGGGCAGCGCCATGAAGCCGTTTGAAAGCGATAAGCAGCGGTTTAGCAGCGGTGGAAAGGACACACAAAAACGCTGTCAGCGCTGCCAAATAGCTGCAAACGTGTACAAAAATTCAAAGAATTATGGCATTTGCCTAAACCGGCTCAGTAGCAGAGTAAAAACCACTAGAAAGTCAAAATGCAACTTATACTTTATTAGTATCCACGCGTACACGTTACAAAAGCACGTGACATAGAACAAATCTGCAACAGTCTCACTTTGTAAATATTAAGCAATCACGGTCACTCATCTGAATGTAAGAACATCCATTAACATGCAGACATTGAAAATTATCTTTTTTAAAAATAAAGAGAATAACATCGATTGTTCTACATAAAGTTTACATGCACGGCCATTAGGCAAATGATATTTTGATTCGTTGCAAACGGGCTAAGCTGGACATTGCTCACCTTGACGTTTCGTCCATGATCCACGATCTTCTACACTTTTTTCATGAAAGAAATCAACCCAATTTTACTTTGGTCGTCGTTAAATTTTACAATGGACTAAGGAACGAACATTACCACGAGCGTATAAGAATCTTGTAAGTGCGAACCCCATCTGAGATTCTTATATCTGTGTTGCTTGCTCTGGTTCAATTCGTCGATACTTAGCGTAGAAGTCACTGTTCAGTGCGTTGTTTGCAAATACGTTTGAGCTGTTCCATCCAAAAACTTCAACAGAACTTCCATCTCGAAACAGAACTAGATGCAAAAAAACTTAGAATGTTTGCGCCTTTCATTCAACGGTCGCAAATGTTCTGTGTTTGTCTAGAGATGTAATGGGATCTCATGCAAAAGGACCGACCAATTAGATTACGGCCTAGAATGTCTCCAGGGAATTAGCGATAACATTCCCACACTACCGATCACGGAATGAAATTTATTGAAATCTTTATTCCGAAAGCATAGGATTTGGAGGTTTATTCAATATCTTCTTTGCGTGATCTTACTCACATTTCTTAGAGTTACAGTCAAAGTTTTCGGCGTTATAAAAGCCGTAATCTGTGCCAAGGCTTTATCTGGCGATTCATGTTATTGGCGCTCAAGAAAGTCAGATCGACCACAGCTGAATTATTGTAAGCGTTGCTGCAGCTACCCGCGCATTTGAAAGTCGGCAACTGCGCTGCAAAACCGCTGCCGAGAGCTTCAAAGAGCCTTCAAAGGCTGCACAGCGCTTTTGCATCCGGCTGCAACTTGAATGAAGCTGCTGTTTGGCTTCTAAAAGGCTGCTGAACAGCTGTAATTTAGCTGTACAGCTATTTTGCAGCGATTTTGTGGCGCTGTACAGCGCTGCAAGTTTCGTACGGGTAATTGAACAACATGTTCACAAACTATAACTTACATGGTTAAAGGTAGCCCAACCTTTCTATCAGTTTTTACTTTGTTCTTGTACTGTGAGTTACTTTCAATACCATCAACTTTCCCTCCTTTCCTTTTTTTCTTCTTCTTTCTTAACTGATCAACTAAAGGCACCTTCCTGGTTGTGTGTTTACACATGGACCCCTTATTTTTAACATGACTTGTGTAACCCAGTGACTTGCAGTTGAACTGAAGTAGCTCATACTTGGCCAGGGTTCTCAATAGAAGGCGGCACCTGGCGATTGATCGCCGCTTACTTTGGGATTTATAGCCGCTTACTTTGTGTTTAAGTCGCTTTTCTTTGCTTTGTTTTGACACCTCTGGCTTTGCTTAAGAGCCTCCTACTTTATCAGTGATCACCTCCTACTTACAAATCTACTGAGAACCCTGCTTGGCAGACAAGAGTTGGGAATAGGCATCTTCTCCATTAGTTACACTGTAGCTAGACTATGTGTATTTACAGTAAAACACACTAAAGTGACATGGGCAACATGGCTTGAAGTGTGTTGTTGCACATTGGCAAAGCCCCAGGCAAGTCATCTGCGTAAAAAACATAAGCTAAGACAAGGTAGCCTGTGTCGCAGATTTAATTTAAACGTGGTTAGTAACATCTGCAAAGCAGCACCAATATCCTTGTTCTGGGTCCTCAACGGACTCAATGAATTATGAGAAATGTGTTCTGAATTTCCCTTTAACCTGATTGGCAATTTGACAGTGGCTGTTTTAACTGGCCAATCATTTTGCATACTTAAATCCCAGTACACAGGTGAGGGCCCAGAACAAGGATTTCAGTGCTGTTTTGCAAACGGACTTAACCAGAAGTTAATTTCTGTCTGTGGTGCAGGCTAATGCAAGGATGCAATCCGTAAGTTTTTCTTCAAGCCCTCTCTCCAGATGACAGTAAACATATATACATTTTACATACAAACAGGATTAGTGTTTTACATTTCAGAGTATGAAGAAAACATACCTGTCAAATATTTTATTCTAGAAAATTGATACAACCTTGATAACCATTGATAAATGCAAGAAAGTTGTACAGTGTGGATCAGAATTTGAGAATTTTGAGAATTTGAGTACAACTAAATATTACCAAAGAAAGGAACAAATAATATCCTGTAGGAGCGAAACTCATTTACGATACTGTGGGAAATAACCTTTAGGTGACATGTTTGAATCCACTTGTTCATTCATTCATCTGATCAGACATCTCCCATGTTCATCATTTATTCTCACCTTGTTTTCATAATTTTTCCTTCTGTCAGAGTCTTTCTCTTTTTTGCTTGGTAGAAAAACAAGTTGTAAAACTAATCAAAATAAGCAAATAACTTTGTCACACAAAACTTTATTGGACCTTTTCAGTGAAAACTAATTTATTTTACCTTGAGTACTCTTTTTTGAGCTGAACTTCAGCTGTCTTTTTGAGTCGTCTCCCCCCAAGGGAGATGTCTAAACAAATGAGCTAATGATGTCTAGTAATCCCACTTCCTGAAAACCGACTAGTCAGTTGTGTGTTTCTATTTGCATTTCATTGATATTTTGAAGTAGCTACATGAAGGCAGTTACGTGTATGTATTCTTGTTGGGGTGTTATAAAAACAAAACAGCCTAGTCCTCCAAAACCGGTCAACACCATTTATAACTTCAGTGTTGTCTTGAAAATGGTAATATTTATGGGTTGGTATTCATATGACTTCTGAAGAAGAGAATAAGGGATATATTAATGCATGGCTTAGGAAGTACAGACATGTTATTATTTTTGGCTACCAAAGTAGCTACGTTGTATTTTGCCTCTGTTTGTACACTGTATGGGGCTGTCATGTAAAGATTTGAAATGCTGGAAGTAAGATTTTTGTTAGTTAAATGTGTTCATTGTTCTTTTTGTTTGAAATATACCACTGCAGAGATTCCAACCCCATGTGATGGAAAATAGGGAGTAATTATTAGCGCCGAAGGTGCGAACTTCTAGGGGGGTCTGGGGGCATGCCCCCCAGGAAATTTTGCAAATTTAGGTTTTCTCAAGTGCCATTTCCTGAATTTTGACATCATTCCGGCCTGAGTTATAACAAACCATAATGCTCTTCGTGAAGAAAGTAAGTATAATATGAGTGTTTCACTGTGACAGATCACCAAAAATTCTAAAGATTAGCAATTTTTCCCTTAATTTTCATAATTTTATAATAAATCGGGAGAATTTGGTAAAAATCGGAGAGCAGGAGGCAAGACATCAAATCGGGAGGGTTGGAATCTCTGCCACTGTATGCCAAGTTTCTTGCAAATGTTGCAGTTTGAAGTACATGTATTATCGTTTTCATGCTTTCTGAAACCTGCAATACTTCCATTTTTACTACGTTTGTTGCAAACCATTGTCTAAGAAACTTACATAGCAAAGGAGCACTTACATGTAGTATAACTTGTAATTTCTGTGGGAAAATTAAAACTGATGTACCAGTAAATTATTTAAATTGTTTAAATAGGCTTTTCTTGCAACTCTTGCTAAAAATATTTAGGCAAATGATTGATTATTTTTTGGTATTTTTTTTTTTAAAAACAAATTGGACTTTTCATTGTACAATCTGCTATTCATCGTAAGCAAATGAATTCATAATGATGTGAAAAATTTATTCTTTTTAAATTAACCAATCAGATTTTTCCAGCTGGTTTCTGACTGGATTAAATCAAAAAAGAATTGAAAAAAAGCAGTCACACTTTTGGGCCTCTTAGCAGATACATTTATTTTTGTGAAGAATTTAAAAGACTTTTTGCAAAAAGGCTGATTGTTTCTTTGAGGAAAATTTATCTTTTGAAAAATGCAGATACAATGTGTCTTTGAGGGACTTGAATAATGCAGTGCAATGCCCCTGTACCCCACTGCAGTCCTTAGTGGTCCCCAGCTAACCCAGCTCTCACCTAAATTGGCTCCTCCAGCCTTAATGGTAAACATGCTTATACTTCCCAACTGTCTTCTTTTATTCAAAATGCTTTAGGTGACCTTGACTCTCATTGATTTAAACAGAAATTCAAGACCTCAATACATCTGTAGTTCTTTTAGTGTAATATAGAAAAGCAAAGCAAAATGAATTGATTTTAGTCCTGCCAATCAATTTGATTGAGTTGCTGAAAGCCTCTTGGGATCACAACTTGCTGTCGTTTGTTGCTGGAAATAAACAAGGTTGTGCTACAGTGTACAAATAGTAAACTCCTTTCCATTGAAGCACCTCTTTTTGTTTGCCTACCAGGTGTCAAAGGCCTTTTTGTAGTTTACTAACTTTTATTGGACTCAATAGGCATTAATGTAGTGTTTGGAAATGAACAAATAGAGAGAAGAACCTTTTTCGCTCTTGTTGGTGACTGATTTTTTTTGTTTCTAGTATCAGCAGCATGAGCTCTGATAATGATAGATGTGACGCAAGATTGCGTGATAGTCGTAAGGAATCCCCCGACAGATGGGGCAAGGGAGACAGGCATGATAGTGATGCGGCTACGGAAACCAACAGAAATGATCCCCAATCTATTCGCTGTCGAGTTTTTATTGGCAATCTTCCATCGGAGATGAGCAGCAAGGAACTCAAAGAAACTTTTTCTCAATATGGCCCTGTGGTAGGCGTATCAGTTCATAATAACTTTGGATTTGTCCAGTTTGAAGATGACAAATCAGCCGATTCATCTGTTGCAAAGGAACATGGCAAAGTTTATTATGGCAAGCGAGTAGGTGAGTGAGCACCTCAAGAACTGCTTTGGCATCCTCAGAATCTACAAGACTTTTTCTTTTTCATCTCAACAGTCGCAAGCACCCATGAAACCAAGGTTTTATGCAGGAAGGAGCATGGATTTTTCTTGGACAATCCCGGTTTTGCCTTTTTGACCTTTTATCTCTTTGTACTGTATTTTTTTTGGTTATTTGCCTCCAGTACAGAGAGGAGAAATATTTTTGTTCAAAATGGACTCTGCTTTTGTTAATCAAGATCTTTAAGTTCCATTTTGTCTACTGACGTACTGTTATAATCGTAGTCCTTGTATTTCTGGAAGAGTGCCCTTTGTTAGGGTGTAGGAAAGGAAATAAATATACACCAGGGCCTTTAGAAGGCGGTGGTTGCTTCCAATATGTGAATATCTTCAGGATTAGATCCAGGCTGTTTCAATTTGACAGGGAAGCTGATGCATAGTTTTATCATCAGCATTTTTTCATAACACATTCTTTTAAATTGTCTTAGGAAGTGCACCAAATTCAGACTGAATTAGAACCTGCAGCACAAAACAGAGAAGTTGTTCCTTTTTACAAGGTGTTTGTCTGGCAGTGGGAATTAGTCAAGTTTTGAACTTTAGAGTTTGTTCTTTGAAAAGTGCAGTCAAGGTTATAGTTCAACGTTCTTTCAACACATTGCAGTTAAAATCATACATCTTGTTCACACACTTGTGACTCGGTACAGTTGGTATCACTTGCTTTCAACTTCATTGAATTGATTCGCGCATGGTTTTCTTTTAGCTTGTCCATTCCTTTTATTACTTCTCTTAAACTTGTCATTTGGTTTTCCCCGATCTACTGTATCGGAGGCAAATTGCTAGGTTGTGGTGATTGCCACAGTTAACAACCAAAGGCAGTATGGCCTAGACATCTCAATTCTCTTTTTAATCTTAAAAACAGTTGTATAACATTTATAACTTTCTTTGACTGAAGGTTGTGTTTACAGGGATGTCAGTAAGGAAAAGCTAAGCAGGCCTTTTCATTAGTCAAGCCAGGGTTGTCAGAAAGTTTTGAAATAGACGGCTGAGTTGTCAAAGTAAGCGGCCAGTCCAGGGATATTTTTTAAAAAAAACACCATCCATAAAGAAATGCCAAGCAGAGAAGCCGGCCTATACTAACCAAGTAGGTGGTGATTTTCACTGGCAGCTGGCTACTTTTGACAACCCTGGCAAGCTGGATTTATTAGTCAACAACAACTTCAAAACGTTTCCCCATGTCTTTGTTTTGAGCTGGTGGTAAGCTCTTTTTCAGCCTGTGAAAACAGCTGCCAGCCAGCTCTTGGAGACATTCCCTTGTTTATTTGCAGGTCTGCCACCTAAATCTAAATCAGCTCTTAGCTGCTCCAGCCAGCTCATCTCTACACATTGTACAACATTCTAGTTCTTGATGTTTACAATATTATTTCTTTTTTCTTGTAGATGTTAATTTAGCTGGAGATCGAAGAAAACCAAACAAGATGGATGACAGACCAAGAGATAGAGACAGCAGGCCACCATTTCCCTTCAGGAGAGAACGTGAATTTGACCGCGATGGCAGACCATTTAGAAGATCTCCACCCCGTGAAAGGCCCAGGTTTGAGGACTATGACCGGTTCCCCTCACGTTTTGAGCCTCCGTTTGAACGTCGTGGCAGGTCCCCTTCTCCACCTCCACCTCGAAGAATGGATGACCGACCGGGTTATGGTCGGCATGATGATTACTACATGAGAGACCGTTACAGGGATGAACCTCCCCACCACAGAGAACCATACCCACGACAATCCTATGACCACAGGGGTGATGCGTTTGAGCGGGATCGACGTGATCCATATGACTCCCCAAGGGGACCATATCCTGATAGGCGAGATGATCGTTATGATCGCTATGACTCATATGGGCGTGATTATCCGCGGCCTGACGATTATCCAGGTGCAGCTAAGAGACCCAGAATGGATTACAATGACCGTCCTGAAGACTCCTACAGCAGTAGTAAAACCATTGAAGCACCAACAGACTGTGTCATAGTAGTGATGAATAAACAACAAAGGTGAGTATTAATGATTATTAACAAATTGCATTTATGTGTACAGACAGAGTACATGTACACTAGGAACAGGTAAGCCCTTGTTTCCATCCCTCAAACTGCCTTTTCCTTCTTACTTACACTTCTATGAAACTTCTCCTGAAGTTTCTGGAGTTGACCTTGTTTTGATACAACCCTTCCTGCTTTATGTTTAATCCATGTTATTCTTATGCTAACTAGTTTTTTCAGCAGTGATTTTATTAAGAAAAGGAAAGAGGTGTGTATCAAAACAAGGTCAACCTCAGCCTCGTGTTCACTCGGAGGCTAGGGTACTAAGCTCATAACTGTGGAATGGTCTATTGCAAGCTACAAAATTTGTGTAGTGGAAGGAAAGAAATTCCTTTAAAATACAAGATGATTTTTATGCGTTTTTCTGTCACTACATTGTAGTAACGTTACAATAAGCCTCATAAAAATTTAATGGTCAGTTTAACCAGAGCTTAATTTTGATGTTTAACAAAACAACATTACATCATGTTAAGTCTTTCTGAGTTTTGCCAACCAGAACCCCCACATCCTTGCATCATTGTTTGGTGTTAACATAATCATAAAGCTAAGGCTTATTAGTAAAATCCAACTAGTGGTCAATTATCAATCCTGCACTCTGATTGGTTAATTGAGCTACTACTAGACTATATGTTATAGCCCACCAGCAGCAAAGAGTGCCGGATTTTTGGCGGCAAAAAGGGATTTATGTCTAGCTTTAACCAGCTAAAAGTTGTTTTGTCTCGATATTTTTGACCAACTGGTTGGATTTTACTAACACAATTATTCCTCTCGCCCTCATGGCCTCTGAGTCAATAGCCCATTTGGCCTCCGGCCTCATGGGCTATTCACTCAGAGCCCATTCGGGGTCGAGGAATAATTGTTAATTAATCATTAGAATCCAAACTAGCACATAAACAAACACTTTACACACAATATTGGAGACTCATAGTGGCTTAAATTAGTCTACATTGTTTTAAATCACCAGTCCTTAACGTTTAGAGTCTGTAAGCAGAAACTTTTTTCTAGTAAATCAGCTCTATCGTTTGCACTCAATTTTGCTGTTGTTGGTAGTATTTTTGTGACCTTCAACTTTCGCAGGTGTGCAAAATCAACATGAGAGCTTATTAGCAGCTGTAGTAACTCTCATGGTCACAGCTGTCAGTCATCTCTCGAACATTAGTGTCAGAGGCATTTTTACATTAATTTACATTTTGTGTAGAACAGTATACAGAAAAATGTAGATGTAGTTAGTTTACCCACATTACTTGGAGGAACTTGAATTTAGTGTTGGTTTTTGAGAAGAGGGAAAACCATAGTACCCTGACTGAGAAAAAAAGGGGTCTTGATCAGGCTTATCAATTGCTTAAGGCTACAGCTGTATTCAGTGGTATAAAAATAAGTAGAACTTGCAATATATGCATTTCTACATTCTACATATTTATGGTCGTTTTTTTTATTCAGATTGTCCAGTTGTACACTGTATGTAGTTCTGAATAATACTGTTGTTGACCTGTAGTGACTGATGTTTTGACAAACTTTTCAGAAGTCAACTTTGGAGTCGAAGCGAGTTGTGTAATTAATACCATGTACACGTACTTGCTTGATTCTAAAGATGTCTACTACCACAGTCATGTTATCTAGATGTCATTTCACTGTCAACAACAGTCCTACATGTAGTTAGGACTTGCATGTATACAATGTATGCACACCTGGATGAACTTATTAAATTGTTGAACCTACTTGTGACTGAGATAGCTTCTGTGTTCAAACCATTTACACTACACCATGTTTATTCAGAGGTTATGCAGAAATGGTGGAGAGAAGATTAAAGGCCTTGGGATTGGTAGTGGAGCTGCATTTTCATGGAACCCAACCAATTACAGAACTTCTGGATGACGTGGCTCGTCGTGGTGTGCTGTATGCCATTGTTATAACCAGTCAGCATGAGATTCACCGCTCAGTGACGGTCAACATTCTACATGGAAATCCACAAGGTAAAGATCAAAATCTCCTTGCAAGGATAAAGAAACACACCGGTAAGGGGTTCATGGGCTGAGGAGAAAACTCTAGCTTAACCCTTTAAGCCCCAATATCCACATACAAATTCTCCACACAGCTCTCTATACATATCCTTAAAGAATAACTGGAGGGAATTTTGATAAAAGGATCAAAGCATTTCGCCTTAGGTCATTATTTTATTTAGTCTCATAATCTTCTCCCTTGATCGTGTTTTGAAATTGTTGGGAGAAAATTGATGTTTGTCACTCTTGGGACAAAAAGGTTAACCGTAAAATAAATGAAATGATATTACGGAAAGAAGATGAAAGTGTGAGAGCATCCACTGCATCATTTATTAACTGACTGTATAGTGTTAATAAAATTAGACATATCACAGAAGTGATTCATGCTACAGTGTACCTTAAATATACAAGTTCGGAAAGTGGTATTATAACCCCTCTGTAAGCTCAGCTCTTGGGATGTATACATGTATTACACTGCTGTGTACACGGTGCATGGATGTCGTGCAGTTCAACAAAGGCCTGGCTTACTTTACATGTATCTTAGAATAAAATCTAAAATAGAATGAAGTATCATAATATTAATTTAAATTGTAAAATGTATGATACATGTACAGCCTTCTGGCTTAACTTGCGATCAAGTTTTTTTATGATGTGTCTAAATTTTCAATAGTGCTATCCTATCCCATCACACTCTTGTGATATGTGAACTGCCATTTATGTGGCTCTCTTTCCTAAGGCAAAAACTGATTGCATGAACCTTTGTTTTTTAACCAGACAGCGGCCAAAAATTATTGACTAGCAGGGTTCTGCCATTTATACATATACACTGTAACCCATAAACATTGTTCCATTGTCAATGTAACCATGACAACTGCTGGACTCCTGTCATTTTTTTTTCTGTGAATTTAAGTGAAATCTGCTACAGTAAAATGCATGTATTGCAGCCTTCTAGGAGCCCAACTTAAACAAACTGCAGAACTTTATTTTCTCATCATGATTACTAGTAAGAAAATTATAACATTACCTGTACACTTCATTAGTGTTACTCGTGACTACCTGTCTATGTATGTACACGAGTGTGTGCTAACAGTGTCAACTCAGTTTTAAATTTGTTTATTGCAATCTTAGTTGTTTCTGTACTTTGTGCACGTGTACAGTACTGTGCAGTCCATTACTTTTGGGTGAACAAAACCATGCAAAATGCAGTGGTGCAGAGCAAAGCAGTAAAGTGATATATAACGATACTATTATTAACATTGGTTATTATAAAGAAACTTTGACAAAGCTAACAACTTTCTTTTAACAGCTAAATTTTGCAGCTTTTTATTATTGAGGAAACTTCTTTGAACCTGCTTGAGCAAGCCCTTTCACCTGTGAAGCTGCCACCTGACTTAAATTTGCTCTTATGAATATGCTCTTAAAACGTTTTTACCATGGCCATTTTTGTTCTTTATACTACTCATTTTTTCACCCATTCCAGGGAGGATTTGCTCTGTTGGATGACTCCCCCCCAGATGTCAAAAGACCTCAAACCACCCTCCCCCCCTCCCTGTAAGCTGATAACTACAAATAATCCCAAACCCCAAATTATGACATGGAAATAGCTTAGGATATTATGTGAACTCTTACATGAAGTACATACCATCAAAATTCGCTTTTATCAGTAATAACGAAATTATCTTGAATCACTCAGTGATGAAATAATATCTGAAAAATGCCCCAGAAACCATACTATGAATAAAAAATCGAGAGAAGAAATGAGACTCCCAGATAATCCGGGAGAGTTGGGATATTTGTATTTGTATATGCCAGAAACTGTGCTGTGAATAAAAATATTCGCATTTTGAAGAAAAATTGGACTTCTGGGTAATCCAGGAGCATTGGCATATTTGTTATTATGATTTATTATTATTTCTACTGTTATTATTGTTTATTTATTATTATGTTTACGCTTTTTTTATACAGTGAAAACGTAATCATTCAGTATTACACTTCCAGTCATTTTGGAAGTATAAAACGGAAGATTTACCTAAGAAACATTCATCTTATCAGTTTATTATTATGCTCTTAATATATTAATATATTACATATTAATATATTAATATATCATATAAGATTACTTAAGAACCGTATGTCATCTTGCTTACTGATTTATTACTACCATTTTTGTACTGAGAATCACAACCAGGGAACAGTTTTGGTGTAAAAGTTTGTAAAATGTTGTTATGTCTGTTTATACTGGAGCACCTATACTATATCACCCACACTGTTGGTTAGTTTATGTAATGTACATTCCCCTCTCTAGGTTTTTATAATAATTATGTGATAATTTATTTAAACAAAACAATGCTCCCATTTTATAAACCTTAGGGACAATTTTTATCAAACCAAGATTTTGGCACATTTCTGTTAAATAATGTATTTGTTTCAAATTATTTGTTGGTAACATGCTACATTGACTATTGTGTCATGTAATTATAACACAAGACATATTGTCAACTGGGACAATTAATTTTAATTGTTTTATTTACATAGGTCCTGCAGGAAGTGTTTTTTGCTTCCGCTTCAGTTTGTGCTTTGTGATGGGTATTGTGTCCCTTCTAGCTCGATAGTAAACTTTTATTAACAATTGAAACTCATCCTTTTAAGAAAGGCACACCTTCCTTTTTTAACGATGCTTTATGGTATTACCCCTAGTGCTTGAGTCAGTAGTGCACCAACCATCAGTTACAATCCAAAATTAATGAAAAAGTTATCTGATATCCCTAGAAGTATTGTTTGTGTTTGACAAAATGCTGAATAGTACAGTGCAGGCCCAAACTAAGCAAACAACGCAAGTGCAAAGTAGACACACGTATGGGTCAGCTCGGACATAAGTACTCTTCAGTGCTGACTAGCATCTGTGTCAGCTTATAGACGTCAGTCGCTATGACAACTTTGCTTGCTTGTTCTAAGGATATGAGAGACTAAAACTGTGATTAATTGTGATTCTAAAATTTGGCCGACATTGCTCAGCATCCCACTGTTAGGTGTAATTGTAATTCTAGGTTCATACACCTGAAGGATCCCAGCCGTTTTCTTAAGAGCTTAAGACCAGAGCCAGCATATTTAACAGCAGCAAAATCAGCATAAAATAAAACAAAACTTGCATACATGTACAGGAGAATCAATAGTTCACGCTTTCCTGCTGATTTTTTGTGTTGGTCATTGTGTCATTTACTGCCTCACAATAATTTCATTCTCAGTCGAGTTTTGACATGCATTCTTACTATAGTTAGTGTACATATATAGTTGTGACTTAAATTCACCATGGGCAAAAAAAAGTTGACACTCACCCCTACACACACAAAAAAATAAGGGCAAGTAAATAATAAAATGATGATAATTATTAATAAATTACAGTAATTGATCCCCCCCAAAAAAATAGTCATAGCTAAACCTCAGCTACCCAAGCTGTAAAAGCTAGTACAGCAAACAAATGTCTAAACGAAAAGTAAATACAATATCTGTATATATCTGTATATTTAAGTACATTAATTAATTTTTAAGAACACATTTTGGACATGACATTGATCAACTTTTCCCACTTGCTAAGATGTTTATTGGACGTGCTCCCTTTCCTGAGAATAATTTAGAGTTCAATGTTGCAAATAACAGGGCTCGAAATTGCGACTGATATGGTCCCGAATTCATATGACCAACATTTTTTCCTTGGCGACTGAAAATTCTGGTTTAGTCACCACTTTGGCGACCAGATTTCTCTATTATTTAGATTTAAAGTAAAAGAGTAAAGGTAAAAGTAACATTTCATCTTATCTTGCTTTGCTTTCGTCATTAAAAAATGTGCCAAATCGCACCTCAAAGCCAGTATACTTCCAAATTTATACCCACCTCTGTCTGTGATATTTTCAAACAATTAAATCTGATAGATTGCGCCATACGATGAGCTGCATCACTTACATTATACAAACTGGCAACTAAGAATTTGCATCTGGCGACTTCTCTTCTCCAGTTGGTCGCCAAAAGGCGACCTGAGGATTTTTTAAATTTCGATCCCTGATTAATATGCCTGGTTCAGGCAATGAACCCCCTGAATGGAGGGTATACCCTTTTCTGATTAATATTATTGTAACACTTTCCCAAGAAACCAAGTTTGATTAATTAAAAGAATATGAAATGTACCGAAAATTATATCCCCTTCTTGTAAATTCTCAACAAAGATATTATAATCTCACAACCAGGACAAGGAAAAGTGTATGTGGGATTCAAGTTCAACTTGGCAGAAAGCACATCAAAGTGATTAAACCATGCCAAAACGAGAAAGTTTCTCATTCGTAAATACAATATGGATTAACATTTTGAACTGAAATTGCTTCCGTTTGGATTGTGATGTTGTTTGATACCAATTGAACTTTTTTTTTCCCAGTCAATGGTTAAATGAGGGTACTTTTACAGATACAGTGTAGTGTACATATACAGCTGTGAATCAAAGTTAATTATTTTACTGTCTCTCCTTTGAACAAATCTTTTCAAAAATTGACAGTGTAAGTGGCTTCTACAGGGAAGCTCAACATAGCAGCCTTTACATCCTCTTTTCTTACATTCTGTTTTGACTTTGAGTAATTGAACCCCAAAGATGTGTTGTTAAAGCAAGTTTAGTTTATTTATTTCCTTGAACATTTAGTCTTAGCAAACATTATTTTGACCAAAAATATTAGCTGGCAGCATTGCCTATTTGGGGAAGATTCCTAATTCTCTGAAACACTGTTTCTCTTTCATGTACATACCATTTATTTTTGTAATTCTAATATACTCAATTTTCCCAAGCTCTTAATATATGTTTATGTTAATAACAGGGTTAACATGCGATTAAAGTTAAGCCTGATTCACCCTTTTAGCATAATGTTAACAACAAAATGACGTAAACGTACAGAAACGAAAAGAAATAGTTTATTAGTTTCTTATGGAGGGAACCGTTTGATGAGTCATGGAGTTCATCTTGCAGAATCAGTTGAACTGCAATGAATGCACCTGGCCGACATTTTGGCTTGCGATATACTGTTTTCACAAGTTGATTTCTGTCGGTAAACAAATAAGTATGAATTTAAGATAAGAAAATGGATTCTTTATTTCTTGAAAATGTTGGCACTTACGTAATTCCTTACAAATCAGTGGTCCTGAAGAAAACTAGAGAGTGTAAAAATTATTCGTAAAAGCTGAAATTCTAATAATGAAAGGACGTGGCAGTAATATTAAAAGCTATTTGCCAATTTATAATATAAAAAGACTGTAAAGATATAACAGGTACTACCGGTTCTTACAAAGACAATACTAGTGGACTCATATATAATATATACCTTCCCTTTTCTTGGCAAGAAAGGTTCCAGTTTATAGGTAATGTTGTCAAATATAGATGTCTGCTTTTGTTGGCATGACAGTATCGTGGTATTACGTTATTCTTGGAATTTCTTTTTACCGTTTTTTCCTTCCACTTATTATTATGATTCCACTTATTATTATGATTATTATTGTTATTGTCATTATTATTATTGTCCCTTTATTGTAGTTGTTTTTGCAATTTTTGTAGTAAGCATTGTTGCTTTTACTATTATATCCCTCTCTATTTCAGTTTAATTCTTAACTTATTTGATCCTAGAAGTACCAGGTCCAAACATGGACCTTGGTCACCAAAGAGTTCACTTCATTGATAGAACCCCTGTGAGGGTTCTTGTTGTTGTTGTTGGTACTTTTTTTATACTAGGCTGCATGGGCATTCTTCCGCACTGGGGTTGGGTGTGTTTTTTTTGGCTGAGCAAAAAATCTCCATTATAATAATGTTTTTCTCTGATATCCACATTAATTTGTATTGTATTTTCTTCCTATTTCAACTGAGTTAACGGGTTTGGTTTACGCAATGTAGATCTTATTTTGTTGATGCACTGAATACATGTACTTTACAGTGTTTATTGCCTCCTGGGAAGATTGAAATGAACTGTCAATACCACGGTTCAAGTACACAAACTCTGCATTCGAGTACACCAAAACTGCACAATGACAAGTCATTTTCTTGATTTTTTTCTCGGGCGTTTGCCCCCCAAATTGTCCCAAAAATTGCGGGTGTTGCATAAAACTTTTTTTTATGGGAAACATAGCACGTTAATTTGCGAGACCTAAGTAGGTGCCGTATCCTTGCTACTGAGAAGTGAAAAAAAGTTTCTTTCTTTACGTACATGATTTCATTGTAATCCGCTTTGTTTACCTCTGATGTACACAACCTCTCATGTAGCCGTCGTTAAGAAAGAATAAGAAGAACAAACATTTCTAGTAGATATTGAAGTAAAATAACGACTGCATGCAAACCTTATTTCAATGAGACGCGTAAAAGTGTTTGAAACCACTAGACACATTCTTCACTCACTCATCGTTAGCTTAAAAAAATAGAGGGAGTCGTCAATAAAGTATTATAGCAAAGTTACGTGTGAGCACGCAAGTTACCACGTAAAACTGAAACTGCGTTCCATGCAACACCCGTAATTGTACCCATAGCAGATTCGTAAGTGACCTACTTAAGTGAGCACTAAAGTGCAGGTCGTATGCAACCGGGCCGAGGCCCCAACCAAATCCGCCACATCTTTATCACTGTTATCGTAGCAAGTCCACGTTTTTTTGCAGACATCAATTTCCGTCATCATTTTTATGTTCACACTGAATTTTTTTTTTATCGTTGTTGTAATATGGTTATATGTCGCAATGTCGCAGAAAAAAGAGAATTGGGAGGGGTAAAAATCCAAAATTTTCTTCCCTTTCTTTTGTTGTGTAAGTGATCGCTTCAGACAGGACAACCCTGGCATTTCTTCCTTCCAGCATATTCTGTCTTATTCTGATTCTTTTCATTGACAGCTTCTGGGCACGGAAAGACGGGAGGTTCTGTTGGCAAAACTGTTGGGACATTATTACCTTTCAGGATTTGTCCTTTTTATCTATTTTTATCTGAATCCAGCTTTTAGTCCAAGAGTTTTTTTGTTTTTTTTCATTAACGTGTCCCCCTGTTCTGCTTACCGGTATATATTTTCTTCAAAAAGTATGGAAGCTTCCTTGGATTGTATGCAGACTTTAGGTTTTGTCAGGGTGAAAAAGGAAGTGGGTAAGGGAATTAGAGAGAGAGAGAGAACTGTTTCAAAGTAATTGTCAAAAGTGCAGTTCTTGTTTTAAAAAAATATGTGAAACTCTAAAAATTAACTTTTTAGCCCCCAAAGGCGTTCTTTTCTTAATTGGTTGACCTCTATGATAGCAACAGCAGAAAAAGTTCCAACTGAAAATTAGTTCAAGAACCAAAGCATGAACAAAAATAAAACAGACCTTTCGTAATTGGCACAGAAGCCATTATTTTGATACTCCAGCTGTGTAATTGTCAACTTGTAAATTTGCTGGCAGTAGATGTGATCGATGACCACGTTCACAGGAATGCCATAGCTTTTCAACCTTTTGCTATGTTATTTCTTGTTTCACCTTCCAACCCATTTTATCTCCATACAGAGCATAGAAACATGCCTCTAGATGATGCTATGAGACTCGTGGGACAAAATTTCGATCAATACATGCAAGACCTTCGTGAGCGAGCGAAATCTAGCAGCACCCAAGAAAGTAGCAACACCAAGACAACGGCCCCCCAGGATACCGTGAAGTCGGACATCACGTCACTCCTTAGTAAGGCAGCCAGTGGTGAAGACCTTTCGGCAGATCAGCTAACAAAGCTGATTGACAATTTGTCTAAACGACAAGAACAAATTTTGGGAGACTCTACAGCAGCCAATGGCAAGGGAGGTAATGACGCAACATATTCTTTTCCTGCCCTCAACACAGTTCTTCGCGAAAGACAATCTTTTTATTTCGGTTACTTATTTTTTTTCCTCGCAACTGTTCAAGGGTAAGAATACAGTCTGTTCAAGTACAAGTGGATATGATCACATTAGCGTGTCATTGCGGGCGGTTAACGTTTGTTTTATTATACTGTGCGCGTGACTGGTCCTTAGCCAAAACTACTTAATTTTGTTGCAAAAAAAAAGTACGTCATTGCTAAAACATTTTCCGCCATATACACTACTATAATTGAAACCGTCTGTGATGCACATGACCTTAGTAATGTTTTAGCGTTACAAAAAGCGTGCAAAACTACTTCCTCAGAAAGGAGTCACTGGGTTGTTTCAATTAAACCCTGGTTGAATCCTCTTATGGTCAATAGTACTGCAAGTTCGTTGAATTGATTATAACGTGGACATTTTCCAGTTCTTAATGCAAAGGGAGTGTCACAACAATACAAAAGAAATATCTATGACATACCACTACCAGTTCCACCTGCTCTTTTCACAAACAACTGGTTTAAATTATTTACTCTTATTTTCAAATTGCACGTTTTGAATCATTCCACCAGCGAATAGTTAAACAATAATACTTCTCTCTCCCTCCAGTAAAAGTAAAAAGGAAGTGAAAATGCTCCTCGATTGAAAAGAAAAAGAAATGCGTTGATAAACGTCTATAGACTTAATTTTGTCCAATAATGGCAACCACCCGGCTTTTTTGCGGTCAGGTCTTTTCACGGTTACTTTGGACGTGACAAACTAGGTTCTTTTGTTATTGTTCTGTAGGAACTTCGCAAATGTTTGTGCTCTTATTTGAATCTAATGATTATTACTTGTACTTGAAGTCGAGTTCTCTGTTTTCTATCGTCAGTTTCTATTCACACGCAAACGAAGTGGGTTTTTTGCATTGGATCTAAAAGTTGCAGTTAAAAGTATCACAAATTAAGGCCACTAGGCATGACGGAAATCGTCATCCATTGGCTGTTTTTGCTTTTTACGTTCTTTTTGCTCAATTAATAGTTACTCATTGTTCATCTTGGTCCATTTGCACCTACTTTCTCGCCAGGCGTTACAGTTAGTCAGTCCAGTCAGCCAGCCGTGGATCCTCAGTCCATTGCCAAACAACAAGCTGACCTACAAGCGAAGATATTAAGCATTTTGAATCCTGGTGGTGGTGCTAAAACCGGCAGTATACAGAACTCTGGTAGCCTGGCATCTCAGCAAACACAAGGTGCTGTCACTGCACCTGCTTCCCAAGGTGCTGCGAAACCAGCATCACTGAGCACCACAGTGAAGCCAATATTTCCACTGTATCCAACGCAACAGAAACCAGCTGCTCTTGCAGCTAGCACTGCAGGGTCAACAGTCAAAGCTCCTGTGGGCACCGCAGCAACAAAGCCTTTGTATTCCACTCCATCGAACCAAGCGTATAAGACGGCGTCACCGTACAGAGCCACTGCCCCTGCAAACTCCTATAATGCAATTGCAACTGTGGCAGGAAATCAAGCAGGATCGTATCAGGTCAGCAAGCCAGTGTCCCAAAACACGTATACATCAGTGTCGAACCAAGCTACTGCTGCTTCTGCTTCAAGTGCTGCGTATGGTGTGAAGGCATCTACTGGCCCGGCATCCCAATCCAATTGGTTACAGAGGATTAGTCAGCAATCATCAGGCACTTCTGCAGCAATCCCTGTGGTTTCTAAAGTCAGCCCTGGTGGAAAGGCCATTACAACAGCTGTGGGGTCAAGACCTGGTGTTAACTCGGCACCACGTGCTGTAACGCCAACTGCAGTCGGTGGCGTAAGACCAATGCCCACCGCAGGTGGCCAGATGAGAACTCCTTCTCCTGGTTTGCTTGGGCCGCCTCCTGTAGGAACACCGAGGTTTAGACCATCTGGAGTTGTAAGGACTCCAACATCTTCAGGGACGCCGGGCGTGCGGATGGTTGCTCCGAGAGGCCCTTCACCAGTTGGTCGGGGCGTGGTGAGGACGTCTTCCCCGGCCGGTTTACAAGGTCAGACTGTTGCTTCTCGAGGAGGAGCAATCTCAGTTCGAGGTGGAGTTGCTGGTGCAGGTGGTACCTCTGCCACAGGTCGTGGAAGTTTTGCCACTCAAGCCACTACCCCAAGAGGTGGTTCTGCTCAGCGAGGTGCTGTTATTGTTCGTGGCACTCCTACTCCTCGGGGTGCTACCCGTGGTGTCCCAGCTACTCGTGGTGCCCCATCTACTCGTGGTGTGCCTCTAGCTCGTGGTGTGCCTGTGTCTCGTGGTGCTCCTGCCACTCGTGGGGCTCCAGCACCTCGTGGTGCTCCTGTCTCATCCAGTGGCGCTCGTGGTACCCCTGTTACTCGTGGTACACCTTATTTGCGCGGTGCCCCTACTGGTCGTGGTACTCTGGCGACTCGTGGCTCTCCCATAGGTACAATAACCTCCAATCGTGGTGCTCCTCGAGGGAGGCCAATGATGCGAGGCGGACCTCCATATCGTGGTGGGGGACGTGGCGGATATTGATAAACATAATAGGGATGCTGAACGTTTTTTAAAGCGTGCTTCAGGAACAGTGATTGTTGTATTGTTAGAATATTTTTTGGCCTTCATTTTCCGTGTATTCTGCCTCTGGGGCGTTAAAATGCCAAATTTCATGGAATTTTTACACATCTTGCAGTTTTAAGATACTTACCAAAACGTTTACCGTGGCTGTTATTAGAAACTTGCTCAACGACAGTTTCATGTTAATTTTAGTTCGCAATTTTTATCGTCTTGTTTGTTTTTATCAAACGGACTGTCCTTTAGTCTAATTTTCGAAATGCATTTGTAATATCTTCTTCAAGTGAGAAAGTCTTTCGCCGAAGAAATGTAATAGTGTTGTTAATCGGGTTTTATGTCGCTCGTAGTAATACCATAATTAAATTTAGACAATGGCAATGCGTATGATGTTTGCATAATTCTTTTAGTTTCCTTAAACCACAACCTGAAAATTAGCGCATTGAATGCGTGTGTAATGCCATAGTTTGTACGTCAGAGTCGCTGCTATTTACTTGAATCTTTATGGATTAAAAAAGATTGTTAAGTCACGACAAGTGTTAAAGGTTAAATTGCACAAAACTGTTTTTCTCACAGAGGGCAGCACAAGTGTGCACCTGATTGTATTGTATAAGCGATATCAAAGAATATTTCTGTGTCTGACCGAGAAAAATCCACGCAAATGTCCAAGTTGGACAGGCCCTCTACTCCTACACCCACTGAATGTCCAGGCTGTGTAGGCATGAATGTGGTTAATGAGTTATAGAATAGACCATTTAACAAAGAGTTAAAGGCCTCTGCTAACGACAAAGGTCAAGGGGCAGCATTCAATTAAATCTACCTGGGGCAGTGACGGGATTATAATGGATATTGGTTGTTAAAGTACTTGGCTTATTGGCGACAAAGTGATCACTTAAAGTAGGAAAACAGCCAAACTAAGAAAGTGTTGGAGATGTGTTTAACTCGGGGTCGATTCGTTTTCGATTGCGTGAAAAGCATAAATTATACTGCGGCGGCATCTCGGAAAAGTGGTACGGTTCTAAATACAAGTGTGCGAGATTAAGAAAAATCCGGAAGGAAGATATTAATAACGACATAAGTTACTACTTAAAAGTGTAAGCTCGTGTGTTTGCAACACAGGTAGCTCACCAAAGGTTTTGAGGGCTGCGAAATCAAAAGTTCTTCGTAAATTTAGAACAGTATTTGTCGCTTCGTCGCCTTCCGGTTTTTTTTTAGCTTCCTCGAAGTCAGAGGATAAAAATACCCTTTTGTTAACAAGTTGTGAAAACAAATTGTACCTCATTGACGTGGTTGATCGTTGGCGGTTTGGTTGAGTGTCGATGTATTTAGCAAAAAGTTCTACTAATTAAAGACACTATTTTTGTCTCCCACTGAACCGCTTATTTTTTTTATGTGGTCATCCGAGCCATGCGAAGGTCTAGCCGTTTGTAGAGCCAAGACAATACCGTCATTTCTTCGTTATTTTAAGACCAAGAGTATTGGTCCTGCCTCGGGGATCGAACCCTTGACCTCCCGCATTGCAGTCAAGCGCTCTACAGATTTAGCCAGTGCGTTGCTCTGAACTTGCAATATTCTCTCCATTGTTTCTTTTGGTATAGTAAGTAGTCATTCCTTGGCTATTTATTTTGTTTTGGAATTATTGTCATTGATTGATCAGGAAAGGGTTAATACTGCACTAGGTACTCAACTAAAACGGTTTACGTAAACTCCTAAAAGCTCATTTGCAGGCGTTTCTGACCAATGAACTATAAACGAACCGATGGAGGGAAGGTAATGGAGATTACGGTAAAGAATGACTAATACGTTAGAATGATATCAGGCACGTTTATTACAAGTTGCCGAAGAGCCAGGTCATGACTGTTGTCAGTCCCATTCCCTTTTGGACCAATTCATGGCAAACATTATACACATAGCATTTAACAAACGATCCTTTCACCGCTTACTTACAACAGCAATTTTCTTTAAAAAGTCATATTATTCGAGGAGGAAAGACTTTTGCTCCTGCAAGTATTAAATTGTAATAAATTTCCATCAGCAGGGTGCCTAAAATGAATTCAACTCCACTGTATCTGTTGTATTATGAAATGTTGTATCAATTTCATAACACCAGGAAGAGCCATCCAAAATGTTTGCACAGTTACTTACGTGCATATCACTAAGGACATGCATATCACAAACAATTCTTAATTCTATCCGTGACAGAACTAACTTTACCTTCACAATAACAACGACAAAGCAGCCGCTATGAAAGTTCTGAATTTTGCGTAATTTCTGGAACAGTATCCTATAAATGTGTGATAACCGCGGTATTGGTGTGAAACATGTCCCACTCTTGCTCACTTGTGAACTTTTCGTCTTCTCCATTTACTCAAAAAGTTATACACGCCATAATACTTTAGGGGCCAAAATTTCAGACATTTAGACATGGTGTAGGTGAAGGGAGGCTGTATCATTGGTGACGCCATTTTGGAGTTTGTCCCGTTGGGTACCCCTCTGATACCAGCTCTGTGCCCGGGCTTCCCGAAGCCACCAGACTCGCTCGCTCGACGAAGTGATTACGCAAGTTTACACAAATTTTTCATAGTAACGTCTTGTTGCAATAAAAGATCTCTTTTGCGCTTCTGTCTTCTTGTTATTAGTATTCTTGATCCATTGTTCCTCCAAAGATGAACGTCAAGCACAAGGCAATGCCTGAGCCTCACCCGACCTCACTGCTTATGTCATTTTAATACGACCCACAAGGAATGTGAACATTCTTGAAATTAAAAAATGTAGTCGATGTCCTCTGTTAAATGCCTAGCAATACATACGTTGACATTAAAATTCTACAAAGTAAAATTCGGCCGAGAAGCCCACATTGTAACTTGGTAGTTTGTTGGTGTTACGGAAGGGTGCAATCACCAAGTGATGTCATGTAAAAGATTGAAGACACTGACTAATACCCACTGCACAACATAAAAGCGAACCATTATGGTTTGTACAACACCAAGATTTGAAATGTAACTTTGATAAAGCGTTTGGCCGTGGTTAGTAGAGGAGACTGATTAGGAAAGCCAGCAAATATCAAAGTTGAAACTAGCGGTGCTGACGTTTATGTTGGAAGCTCCCTGACAGTGCTTTTTGTTCACAAATTGTGACTGACTAAATTAATGCGATGTTTCTATTGGTCTGTAAGTTTAAAATGAGAGGAATGCTATTGAACGTTGCGCACGGTCAGGTCCTAAAAAGCTAACAAACAAAAGAGTTTAACGTGTTTCATAACCATTCCACTTTCATAACTACGGTTTGGGTTAAGCATTTGAGCAGATTTTCATTGCGTCACACATGTAGTGAACTCTCGCTTGTGATTGTGAAAACGTGACTTATCCACCAGCGAAATGGCAGAAATACAACCTTGACTTACTCCCCTCACTCCAAAAAATGCTATTTAGTCCAAGCGTGATTGACCCATGAGATAAGAGCCGGGTAATCAAGATTTCCAATTGTTAATTGCCAAGTACGTTTATACACTAAGAATATGCAAACAACCGAAAAATTACAAAAAAAGGGGCAAAGTGAAGCTTGGATTATGAGAGCCATATCTGACCTTTCCACTAGCAATCGATAGATAGAAGTGTCGGTTTCCAGCTGTCTGTTTTTTTATTCATGATAATGGGCTCACTTTCCGCGAAATGTTTACTGACAAATCCTCGCTCCATCTCTTACCCTCTTCTCTTTCCTGTATTCCCTTGCACCCCCACTCCCGCCCAAGGACCTTACGAAACATTATTTTTATGTGGGATGGATAGTACAAGAGTTGTAACCTGTTGTCGTGGTAAGTCCTTTTCTTTCTGTCTTTTGAAAGTCTATTTGCCTGTTGAATATTATCCTTAAAACACCGTCGACGTCTACAAAGCAAGATGCTAAACGTGTACATTTGAACAGTGAAGTTAGTGAACTGTACGAACCTAATATTGCCGGTGTGGTTTCGTTATTTGTGCGCTGGTTATACTTCTGGTTTACTTAGCCTCTCCTTTGACTAGTATTGGGTAATTCACTGGACAGTGCTTGAATACCGGTTGCAAATTATTCAGTTGTAATATTAACGCTGAAAATTATTTCTTCACTGATATTTCAATGGATTAGGGTCCTGGTTTGAATTTGAACCATCCGTGCAATATTTTCCATTGAAACCGTCTCCACCTCCAAAGTGAGACAAAAAATTCTGTACATTTGAAACAAAAAAGTCAACTGAACTGTAGCACGATTATAGATTTGCAGGTGTGGTTGTGTTATTTGTGCTGTTAGACTCGTGGCGTATTTAGGAGGTCCAGCCTCTCCTTCGACAATTTTTTGAGTGATTTGTGCTTGAATACCGGTTACAAATAGTTCCTTTGTATTGAACTCTCACAATTCTTCTTTCCGTCGATTTTTACCTTGTTCTGTCACCTCAACCTGAAATAAAGTAGAACCCTGGATTGAACCATTTCCGTGTAATATTCTCTATTGAACCCTTGTGCACCTACAAACGATAAAAAAAACATGTGCAATTGAGACAATTCAGTAACTCTACCACGAATAAAGTGAAGGTGCAGTTGTGTCAATTGGCTTATACTCAGGGCTCAGTTACGTCCAGCCTCTCCCTAGACTGGTTTTTAAATCATTAACTGGACTGTGCTTGAATACCGGTTGCAAACTGTTTAGCTGTAGTTTACTCTGAATATTTTTTCTATTGATTTTACCGAGCTCTGCCTCTTTAATCTGAAATTTGATCTTTCAAAAAATAGTCTCAAAGTCGGTACGGCAGAGTTACCAAGGAACATAAGGATTTACATGACTGACATTGCTCAGACTCGTTTGTGATTATCTTTATTTCTAGACCGTACAAGTAGTTTTATTATTCTTATTTATTAATATTTATTTTAGCCATCATATATGAACAACAGGGGTTCTGGAAGGGGCAGTTAAAGAGTAGAAAAATTAGTTGTCAGGCTGGTACCCAGGCAATTGTCAATTGTCCTAACTTGTCGGCGATAGAAAGATATTGAACGCTCAAGAAAAAAATAATCCTTGAGGAACAAATTTGTAGGACAATTTCGACTGACAGTAGATAACGCGTACCAATTAAAAGCGCAATTGAATTGTAAAACGATGTATGACATATTCCGATTTCCATTCAGATTTTAGATGGCCGTATTCCACGGCACAGGTCACACACTGACTCGTCCTCAGTCGTCTCTCGAAACCCGGCTCTCCGTAGTGGCGCGTTACGCGAAGGTGACTGGGGACGAATTACGATCACATAGGGAACCAAATCATTGAGAAAACGACCTTTTCGACTTGAAATAGCCTTCAAACGATTTTTTTCCTTTTATGCAAATTTATGGGACACTTTAATATTGTAAACCTCATTCAAACAATTGAAATGACCACGTTAGTGACTCGAATTTCTGGGCCTCTCGTGGACACTGTCTTATTGCCCACACTGACATATAAAAAAAACGTCAGCGTCACAACAAATAATGATACACTAAGTTCAATGTTAAAATTTTAATTCTTCACTCTGCACGAAGATGTTCTCCACATGTTCACACATACAGAATTTCATTCTCTTTTCGACACTTGTACAAAAGACTCATCGGCAGCACGGCAGCGCGGCTTCTAGGCTTTAGAACAAAGTTTAGTTCTCCCTGTCAACAGTTTGGTAAGTTTTGAGGAAGTCACCGTGGCTTATTGCCCGGAAGGTACTCTTGGTTTTTGGTGTGCCGCCCGTTTCTCCAAATCCTAACCCTATTTCAGACCCCCAAAAATCTCATTTCTTTCTTATTCATTTGGAGTTCAAACCGGACAAATATGTTCATACACCCCGGTAATTCCTTCTAAAACCATACCCGATTCCAGACCGAAACTGGCTTGTATAAGGGAGTACCCCGCCCCCCCCGCCCCGTTTTTTACTCACATTTCCTTTACATCTCTCATGAAGGTATAAAACAAATAGTGCTACCAGCCATCTGAAGACCTACTAACATCTACATATAGACTGCATTCACTCACCCCTTACAGGAAATTAATAATAATGAATTGAAATCATTGCGTTTTTCCAGCACACTTAATCATGATGCCGTTTGCTTTAAGGGCAAAATAATTTGCTTCTTACTCTGTCCACTAACACTGGAGTAACGGACTCGGTACAGGTCGAAGGGAGAACAGCACGCGAGAAGGCATGCACAGAAAGCGAGAACCCTGAATCGTCCATGTTTCACGTGGACGATTTGATCTCGGTTCCCCCGAACCTTTATAAGGAAATGACCCACAATTTTCGTGAAGGTGATAACAACTGG